GCATTCTTGGAATATAAACGGCAAAGTATATTCGAATGGAAGCGCTCCTCTGCGCAACATCTCCTCCGAAGACCGCTGCTACCTCTGGCCCAGGCCCGCCGGTGTCGAGTTTATTTATTGAACTATCCCTGCTGTGATAACGGTTACGACGGTGTTCGGAGCTTCTCGAATCGCCGCGATGCCTTCAACGGATTGCGATATGAAAATGCAGCTCGTTTAAAATAACGTCGCATGTCCTGACATTATCGTTCATAAGGGCTGCCTAAGTAAAAAGCTTGAATACAAAAGCTTTACTTAACTGGTTTCTATATCCAATGAAGGAATTTGTTGTGAATTTATTCGCTCTCCATTGAAAATGATGGGAAGAAATGGGGAAGACATCTCCAGATTTAAGTCTGTTTATATCTAATATTCAACACTATAATTTATTATTAATACCTTCAGGGTTAATAATTTTTGATAGTTAGCAAAGACACCGCTCCTTCCAGCTTATGACATGCTTATGTACTCGCCTCGCCCGTAATTTACTTCACTACATTATAATTGAGTTATGGGTGACTACTCGACTCGAAACAGAAAGCCAAGACTGCGAAGTTAGTCTCTCTCCCGACTAAGTATTTAGAAAATCTGTAAACCGCTTGCAACTTTGCGCTAACAAACTCGTTCTCCACTGTCAACAAAAAGTTGTTGTGAAGTTTTAAAGTTCGCCATAGCCCGTGCTCTGCACGGCGGAATCAGAGTAAATGCTGCTCCGACCGTATACGAAATTTGTTTCTAATTTTGCGGAATTTTCAAGGAGGATAATTCCGGAAGTTTGCGATATAAATGTTAACGAAATCAAAAAGTTATAAGCAGTCTGCTCTTTTGGAGATAAGTACGGTTAATTAACGGTGCAAACGGATAGGATCATCGCCAGTCCGAACGTGCTACAGCAAAAGTTAAAAATGAGATTAACTTATTGAACTAACGTAAAGGATTTTATAGGATTTTGGAAGAAGTTTACTGTCTAAATATGTATTAGGAAAATAAGTTTTTAACGTTAACAATGGACACTAAATACGGCTCATTGAATATATCGAGGAGTTCGATTGAATTGACAGAGACGATTGAATCGGATGCAAATTTTTTTGTAACTCAATGCACAATGTGGTCTATTAGGTGATTGTTTGCAGAACTAATAGACAGCAAACTATTGAAGTCTTGGTAGACAATATACAGTGTATTATTGGCGCGAAACGTGAGAAAAACATTGAATTAACAAGATATGCATTCAGAGGAACAACCGAGAAGGTCACTTCCCAAAAATGGTGTTCAAATTGCATTTACATGAAACATTTTTCGTATCAACTATTGCTCTGTATTATTAATTTGAATGTTTTATTGTTCTTACAAACACCCTTTAGATGTTTGTGGTTGTAATTCTGCCTAGCACCGAATCTATTTGCTAATTTATCCCATCGAAATGGATCAGGTCAGTGTTGTTTTGCCCGTTAATTTCCCAAGGGGTATGTTTTATTCCGGTTGCTTGTGTAATTCTGTAATTCTAGCTCCCCATCGACCCTACATTGTCACTCGAAAGCAGAAAAATGCAACTTATTAAACACATAAGACGGCTACATGTAATTTCTTCGAACAAAAATGTTATAAAATAACTTTTAATAAATTTAAGATTCATTTCGAGAACTAAACCTCCCTTTCATTATTATGAACACCAATCTCAAAGTAACGATTCGATACTAACATGCGTATTGGTAATTAAAAACTTGGAAAACTTGATTGAGCGAAGTTTCCAATTAACAAAGTTATAACCTGTTCTGATCCGTCAATTATCGGCGGTTTTATCTCGGCGAAAAATTCCGGTCAGCAATGAATGGAGGCGCCAAAAATTCTTCTCCAGTAAATTATATCGTCATTGCAAGTGCCATAATTACGTTCGCCAGACGTCAGTGGAAGTAATCAAAAACTTTTCAAAAGTTATCGTTTAGTTTAATTACACTTGAAAACTACGAATAGCGGAGAGGGCGATGGTGAGCTAAAAGATGATAGACCTTTCTGATGGACGCGTTATTGGTTTACCGCTAAAACACACACGTACGTTTTATGTGTCTCTATTTCTTTTATACTTGAAGTTTTACCCGAGGGATTGTAGGGATGTATGAAATAATATCATTGTATTAATTGCAAAGTTGGATTAAAAATAAATAGCTACCGTATATGATTTAAAAGATTATCAATTACCATCAGTTTGGGGGTTTGTTTGATGTTTTACTGTTGAATTCATACACTGTATCAATAAATTGCTCATCTGTCAGCGAATTAGCATCCGAATATCGGTTGAAATGAAAATGCCCAATTTCCATTAGCCTATCAACACAAACATCCGCATCGAAACCTTCAGATTCGGTATTCTACAGACTATGCCCCTTTACAGCGTCTGTCGAAGTTCGTATATATTGTTATTACAGTTTAGTCACGGAAGCAGGATATATGTAAATGCGTATCCTGCTGTGAAATCCCTCTGTTTAGTGTCACGGAAGACAGGCCTTTAAATCTCGTATTGAGACATGAATTTTAATTCTGTGCGGTCAAAGGCGTGAAGGGGTTACCATCAGAAGATGCCCGCAGTACATTCATTGCACAAATAGATTTTCTATCCACAAAATTAAGAACAAATTCGGCGAAGCTATGTGTTGAAATATGAATATATATCGAATGGCAATTAAAACCTAATCCTCATTATTCTTTGAAGAACAAAGTACGTACTTACTTTCGCGGGAATAACTGAAATACAATACCGAGCAGGCAGAAGAATCCCGCGATAAATTAACAACAAAGCTAATTAAGTTCCAGCGAAACTGAAACTGGAGATAAAAGTAAGTTTCGAAGTAAATTTGACTTTATTTCGGTAGACAACAAACGTTGAAATCCCACACTTGTATGTAAACATAAAACAGATTAAGGGGTATTATTATTTCAGGATGCTTTCAATAAGTTGCCTAAAAATATTAACTGTAGTTGAATATTAATTGAAGTGTTAATAGTAATAGCCTCATAAAAATTTCTTCGCCAACAATTAAAGAATTTAAACGTTCGTTGTAGACGGATCACAGTTTAGGAAAGACCGTTCTGCGTCTTGAGTTTGCAGCCCTCGTTTTATTTCTGTATTTAAATAGCTCATTATATCTTACATTTTAGCTGTAATGGGGCAGAATGAAAAATTAAGTGGCGAAATAAAGGGTTCTTTGAAATAGATGTGCGGTGGATGTACGTACTGAGGTGGAAACTTTGCAACAATTACAAAATCATGTTTTAAAAATGCTAATGTACTGTGTGCGGTCGCAGAAGCGAAATTGTACCGAAGCGAGCGCGAGATACTACACGGATAAAGCTGGTGTTTTAAAAATTTATCGCAGTTTAATAACCTTTTATTCTGAAACGCTTTAGAAATAGGATTAACTCGTTTCATTGTTTGGCCTAACGTAATTTTACTGCTGCATGACTCGATTTACTTAATAACTCTGTAGAAATTTTGAAAAATTACAATTGAAAATACCTAACTAAGAAACATTACAAAATATGGATGTCATGTAAAAAGGCACTGTGGTAATTAGGAAAAAGTGACAATCTACCAAATATCTCCTACCTAAATATAAAAATCTATAATAAAATTAATTCCAATCTTTTGGTTATTGATCGATTGCTTTACATGTTTATCCGCGATTCAATTCCATTTATAAACTACTCCAATGACTGCGAATCGCGTTGCCCGTATACTCTTGGGAAATAAATGGGCATTTTGAACCTTGTTATAGGGGTTACAACCAAGTTTTGTCTAATAATAGGAATGACTCGATGCTTACAACTATTTGTGCGAAAACCGCCTAAGTGGTGGAAGAGATTAACTAGACAATTATAGGCATATAACGTACACCTCCAATGTGGGTACGTATACCAGATTTCTGTTTTACCACACAAATAAACCCAATAATTTAAAAAACTTGACAAAATGACGACTAAAAAAGTATTTCAATCGAGTGAGCAGAAATTCATTTTAGAGCCTAGCTTGCTACAATGTTTGATGGTTCTAATGCATTAGCCAGCTATCCTATTTGAATTTTAGAGCCGAGAGAATTTGCTATTTGCTGGATATGGCCCTGCCAAACGCTTTAGAATCGAGCAAAGTAAATTTACGTGCAAACACACGGATGGCTCGTGCAGATAGCCATCGAAAGCAAACCGTAGTGCAGCAGATTTGGCAAAGTAGAAAACCGGAATATCCAGAATAGGGAAAAATTGGTATCAACTATTTTGGAAACGATTTGGAGTAGACATAGCGTACAGCTAAGTTTGAATATGTATTATAGTTATTCCTTGTTGTTAGTGTACCTACATGAAAAGAAAACTACCTATAGACATTTTCATGTTATCTACTTGTTGAAAGGAAATTAAAGAACAAAACTTTGTTAAATTGAACTTAGAGACCATTGAGTTTACTGACAATACGAGGAAACTAACAAAGGGACAATTTTCTTCTGCTGCAATTGAATTGCTAACTCAAAATTAAATTATATTATTTAAATAGCACAGAGCTGTTCAAAATTAAAATGTCTCTTGGCAATATTTCAATTCTCTTTGCGTTGCATTATTGCGGATAACTTTAACGTGCAGATTTGCAGATAACTTTAAATTAGATATATTTTTAACTGCGGGAAATTTTTAATGGGAATATTGTAAAAAAGGCGAATATATATGAAAATAAAAAGTCGGATTAGGGGATTAAACGGGTTTATTATTTTATTTATAGGTACATTAAATATTTTTAATGTACTTATACATATATGTATAGGTCACAATTCACCATGTCACAATTCCCAGATCTTTGGAAACATCCCTAGTAAATAGAAACAGTGGATTATTTTGAAACTTAGTAAATTTGGCAACGTTTTTATTTGAATATAGGAGTTCATTGGAGTTTGGCAAGTCGGATAGTCTTGTAATTAGTCGAGTGGTGACAGCAAACGTATTTAGTAAAATATTTAAAACGTAAAGTAAAATAGATAATGTGATAAATAATGTTGAATCAGAATTGAACAGTATTACCTAGTTAAATCGATTCTATAATATGGACATTGTAAATATTAATACTTTTAATCCTATAACAGTTATTAGTCTAATAATAGTGGTGTACAGTTTGATAAAAAAGTATGTTTTTTAGGTTGGTGAAAGTTTTATGTTGATGTGCCTAAATTACCTTTGATATTCAAGAAAATACTGTACTAGTTAAGCTTCAAAGGCAAGTAAATTTTAGTCCATTAGTGCGGTTCATTAAATTTTTAACGCTTAAAATCTTAAAATCTTAAAATCATCATGTTAACTTTATCGAAAAAGTCTCATTTTATTATGAAATAAAACCCCACGTAAATCAAGCTCGTGCTCTTCTAACGATGCAGATATATCGATTTGCAAGTTATTCCATCAAATTATTAAAATCCGATGCCGCAATTAAAGTGAGACCCTGCGGTGTGATATTTCTTGTTTCATGTTCTTGACGTGAAAAATGGCCGGGGCGGATGGTTGGGCGTAAGTTTTGGATTTTTTCCATTCAGCTATAAACCATTTTAAGCGACATGTAAAAAATTTAATAAAAGATAGGTATGCAGGCAATAAATGCTTTGCGGCGTTTTCGACACGCGGATTTTGCGGTCGAAATGTTATGAAAATGGTTTTTATGCGACAGAAGGGGTATTTTTATTTTCAATCAGCGTAATTGAAAGTGCGCTTTTATTGTTTGTCATAAAATGTTATCTCGAGGTAAATCGGACTGTATACGGTTTGCCAATAAAAAAATGAGTTTATTTTTATGTGCCTTAACATATTTTACATTGCACGAGCATTTACCTACAAGACGTTAATTTTATTCTTGAATCTTATGTGGTAATTTTATTTACAACCCTGACGGCAGTGAAAGTGTTTAAATTGGAATTTTCTAACCTCCCTTTAATAAAAACTCCCTAAGGGGCAACATGGAGACCATTTTTATCTGTATTTGGAATTTTAATTAGCAATCAAAAATTTAAGGGACAAATTGAAACCTGCCCGGGTGCTACTCAAAAATTTACGAGATAAACGTTTATAAAGATTAATTTGCTTGACGATTTTTTCAAGGGGAATCCGAAAAAAAGGGAGCTAAAAAGCGGCGTGATTTTTATCAATTAAAAAGTTTCGTAATTTAGTTTATAACAACGAAATTGTCGTCATTGCCTACTGAAAAAAATATATTACAAGAGAAGTAAATAGAATTTAATTACCACATTCTCAAATCGAAATTATCGCCGGTGCAAATTATTTTTAATCCAATTTTAGCAACTTTTGAAAAAATAAATTTGGCGACATAAATTCCGACAGCACAATTACAAAACTATGCTTGAAAAATTATCCATTAATAAATTCCATCAGAGACAGTTGAAACTACTTTTTCATTCGGGTTTGGCTTTTACACCCAGTGCAAATAGTTTTAAAAATTCTCATGTACAGTTTTATATTAAATTATGTATGCATCAAAAGTAGTTTTATATTATATAATAATAGTTTTATATTTTTGAATATTACCTATGTACACTGAAAAGGGCGAAATTTGTTGGAAAATGGTATCAGATTGTACATATTTCTTCTATTTAAAAACTTCCATTTATTTTCAATAGCTAGGTTTTCATAGGTACATAGATGTTTAAATGCACAGAATTATGTAGTGATCGAGTAAAAGCAAAAATAAATAAAACCATCTGTTCGTCGACATACCACTCCTTCTGGCAATTTTCGGAAAAGTTTCGATTAAACTCGCTCCACATTACGACAACGAATGCGAAATTTCATTAATTAAAAAGCGTAAACGTACGACAGGAGAAACAATGCGGACTTTATAAAAGTTTAATTGATTTCGCTGCGAAAAATTGATACGACTGGAACATGAAAAAAAGCAAACACAACATATTTTCCGCATCTTTTTACAGAGCGATAATGGATAAAAATACGGTGAATGCTCCGGAGTAAAATAAATAAACCAGATATTTAGGCACATGCAAATAGGTGAAGGTAGATCAGAAATATGAGTTTGACCCAGAAGTTTTTTATCGCGTACATTCTTGTTGTGTTCAATAGTTTTTGTAATCTATTCGCTCGAATGTCAAACTCCACCACTGCACCGGGCTAATCGGAAAACCACTAAAACAGTCCATTTACCCGAACAAATGGTTCGTGATTAACGTTATAACCATTTAAATCGGCCTTTTTGACGGTTTCGGATATTAACTAACCGAGATAAACGAAAATAAACAACGTAAACTCCGACGTAAATTTTATATAGTATACGAAAAAAAAGGCCGTGAATACTTTTCGGTGCTTTGTTTACGAAAAATTAAATTGTTTTGAACAGGATAATTTTTGCACTCTTTCAACTTTAGGCCAGTCAACTTTCACCTGTTTCAACAACAAGTTTTGAATGAATTTCACTCACGTCTAGAGAATTTTATATTTTATAAAGTGAAAACCTATGCATTCTAATGTATTTTTGATTTATAAGGCATTCGTGTGAACACAAACTACGCATACAATATTACAATATTTATATGTACATAACTTTTTGTTTATTGAATTTTCTTGGAATTTCAAAACGCCTTATAGATACTATTTTCTGATTTTTATATCGTTGTATTCATTACGTATTCAAAATTTTATTATTATTGCTAAAAGATAAAATCAACGGAAGCGTATTTATTTAACTTCTTTATTGTCCCTCATTGACTTTTTATTCCTCTAGAGCAATAAATTAGATTTATATTCGTAACCATCAAAGGAAACTGCCGTGTAATCAATCCTATTTTATATTTGGAAAATCGGGAAAAGCTCGGATTTATTTTGCCCTCGACTAATCCATTATTTTTCTTACGAGATATTCAAGAATAAAAAATATATTCCTTTTAAGGACATTTAAATTTGCACATTGTTTTTAAATATTACTTTACAGACCCAATACTAATAGTGTTTATTACTATTAGTATTTATTTCAATATATTTTGAATATATTTTGAATTTTAAAACCGTTAGCTTAAATATAGAGGAAGTAATTACCAGACTTGAAGCCCTTGTTCTTTAATTAAAATCAGAACTGCCAATAGGCTCTCAGATGTAGGTATTTATTTCTCAATTCTCTGAACCATGCAGTGGGAACTTAATTGGATTATATGATCATTCTTGTTTTGTCTTTCTGTTCTATTAATAAGCCGGATTTTACGAACATCTCGGTAAATATTCAACGAGAATCGAGTAATTAGGCACCATATTATTCATCGTTCTAGCGGGAATGGCTCGATATTCTACGTATACGGATTGATTAACCCGAAGTTTGCGTGAGAACAAGTTGGTTTAATTAAGGGACGAGCTATAATTAATGATCAAAAAATCGTTCAGATAAGTATATGCATTTAACTATTCTGCCTTTAAATACTGACTAACAGTTAAACGATGTTAATCTGGAGTTAAATTTAGCCACCTTCAAGTTAATCTTAACTGTAACAAACGTAGTGCTGTAATTACTTACCTACGTGCAATAATAATTTTAGAAATAAAAATTAATTATTAGGTAATAATAGTTTTATTTTTGAAACATTCTCCGTAGGTCCTGTCTAAACAAATCAGGAAGTGATGCGCCTTACGTAAAATTAGTCCACTTTGAAAATTTAATAAGAGTCGCGTCCCAAGACACGGTAGTCCAATTCCGAGGAAGTTAACTCTGCAATTAGCGTTTGAAAAAGAAAAACATGTTCCCTTCTCAAATTAAAAATTCACGAGCGACAGTACAATTAAATTTTTATTCTGTCTCGCAGGAGTGGCAGGTCCAAAAATCAAAAGGTCCTTTACAATATTTGTAATTACTGCTGTTTCCATTTTATAAAAATTAAAATTAGAGCGCATTATGAGGAATCGTTGGATTTCAATGAAACAATATTATTGCAACAATGCTAATTCAACGACTTCATTATAATGCTACCTCTTTTGTTCTAAAAACATTCGAAGCTACTGTAGAACTTATTTATTTATTATTACTTTATTATTAATTGTTAAATAGATGCTATTTTAACAATAAATTAACAAAAAAATTGTTAATTTAGTTTTTCTTCCATTATACGCAACTATAATATACAATAAACTGTCTCTCATTCCGTCGAAAAAGCAGGCTAAAGGAAAGTTTTGTCGCTTTCTTGTATCGCTTCATAAATTTTAAAAAAGATTATTCTTTCTTCACCAAGATTTTACTTGTTTTTTTCCTGAAAGAGGAATTACTTATGCAACAGTTAATGCTGTTACAACGTAAAATGAATAATGGATCCCGAAGCCTCTCGTATTTCAATTTTCTGCTTGAAATAAATTGTAATTTTTCGGTACATTGTAACAGTAGCTTTCGCCGACGGTCGTTAAGAAGCCCAATGAAAGGTTTTTCAGGCGCTGACAAAGGGATAAGGAAATCAAACAACGCCAGATACCCGGAATTGGGATCCGTTCCTATGACATAAAACTCTTCGTTATTTTTTAATGGAATTTAAAGCCATCAAAGAAAATGAAATTCCAGATTTACAAGTAGCGGAAAAAACATTGAATAATGCCAATTTTATTCTATTTTACCGAATGGTAAGTTACATTTAATTTCGAAGGCATTGAAATTGTAACGTATAATGTTGTACATAGGTCTTTGATGTTCTGTTACAGTAATTATTTTGTTCTTCAAGTTCTGAGGGAACATGAAAGTATTTTAATTATCAGCTGCCTTTAGATACATTATTATTACGCCGTTTTATACAGGAATTATAATTATAAAGAAAATTTCTTTTATATTGCAACTTTGAGCAAAAGTTAAAGGAATCTTGTAATTTTGAATGCATAATAATTAGAATTACATTAATGAGAGCTCGCCTTATAGAGATAAAGTTTTTGAAAATTTCACGTTTACGTTGGAGCTGCAAAATGATACATTAGAAAATAACATCAGAAAACATGGTGTTAAATCAAAGAACCAAGTTCGCAATTTTCCCTATATCAACCGACTGGCGCCACCCATTTCCCTAGGCATAAATCTTCCGCTCCGCAGCTATTGCTCGGAAAGTACGATACACAAATGAATGGATTATAATTATTGCTGTCTGAAATCAAAGGAAACTTACTAATTGTTGTAATTAACTTTGAGGACTACTGGAAATAGGTTACGAAATAATGGAAAGCCATCTCGAATTCGCACTGTAATTTTCATTTCATTAATCGGCAATAATAATCAGAGCGTTATTAATTGGAATCCGCGATTTTAATAGCACCGCTTTCACTCCGATTAATGTTTAAATAAACGGCATTCATGTTAATCTGGTGATGTCTTCACGTTTACTTGTTAGTAATGATTTACCTTATTATAAATTTTTCTATGGTAAATGCGGTTTGTATATAGAAAAAAAAAACTAGGTAAATGAAAATGATTGTTCATGTAAACTTTGAATGTAGAAAGAAATTATAATATAATAGATATGTACTTACACCAAATAAAACCAACAAAGAATTACGATTGTTGTGAAACTACTGTCACAAACAAAAGTGCTTTGAAAGCACAGCGAATAGCTAATCTGTACGAGAGAATCCTCAACGTAAAAACGATTTCTTATGCGTATATCTTCCAACTCGAAAGTCCAGACACTCTTCTAACAAACAGAAATTCGTCTTTGCAAGAGAAAATGGTAATTCAGTTTACCTTAGTTGGAACTTCAAAGTAAAATATAATTTCGAAGCTTTTCATTTGTGAAACTTCCCCAAAGTCTGGAATGAATCTAGTTAAATCCGAGTTAAGGGAGAAATAAACACAAAAAAAGTTGCTCTTCAGAATATTCTGCAATTACAAACTAGACGCGAAAAGTTGTGGAGGTCATTCGGATTGTTTTCTTTTGTAAATCTTCTATGTTCTTTAGCCGAAAGTTTTTGTAGTTAACATTTTTATATTTGTGTACAAATTCTTATACAGATTAGTGCAAATTTGTATGTAATATAGGTGCAACAAAGACAACTTCCATTAGTCTGACGTAAAGGAAAAAGAAAGGGTGATATTGTTGGATTGCAACTTTTTTACTCTAAGCAACTGTTATTTCTATAATCTTTCTTAGTTCAACTCATAGATTTAGCCATATTGCAAACAATTTGACATTTATGTGTATAAAAATTTATACAGATTTTTTTCATAAATTGTAATTTTTATATTTTTTCTTCACAGATGAAAATCAAATTCCGCATATCCGATTTCCTCGTACATGCTCTGAAAAGGCATAATCAAAGAATTGTAAGCGTATAAAACACTTCAATAAAATAATTTAATTTATTTAAATAATTTTTGTTTCAGTTTCAAAAATTTCGACGTTCTTTTAAAACATATACCTGCTTGATTCTAGTAACTGGAATGTTATTATACTTTTACAATTTTCAGTTGCAAGAAACCGACTCTCTCCGCGCCCCAGGTGAAATTATATCCATTAACTAATAACCAATAATATAATAAACAAGCTATTTTATTTGCAGAAGGTGCATTGAGAGTTAATAAACCAATCAATTATTTAATAAACACATCGACATGCCAAATTCCCAATGATGATCCTTTCAACGACGACGTCATGCCATTTTTGAAAGTGGAGGAACGAAGTGAGTGCTCCAAGTACGGTCTACTCAGTTACATCGACAAGAAAAATGGTGTAGCTACTTTAAACGTGAACAAATCTCTTTTGAGTACTTACAGCAATATGCCCATCACCTGCTGTTATTCAAATATTACTAGAACAAATTATGAGTTTTCTCCGGACAACGAAATTAAGTGAGTGAACCTTTCATAACATATACACTTCTCGATTCTTATTATTTATACGTGTATTATCTTCAAGGCTATCATCTTGTGTTCCATTTGAAAGCGTAGTGCTTTACTACCCGTACGTGCAAGTAAACTGTTACAATGTCCTAAAAAATGTTTATACTAACGTTCATGCGACAGCTTTATACCGGCCCCGCAAGCGGGAAAACTCGGAAAATTCTAAATTTAGCGTCTTGCTTTTAGGCATAGACAGTATGTCGAAATCCAATCTGATTAGAACAATGCCGAAGACATTCCGGTACCTGGAAGATAATTTCTACAATTTGAGAGGATATACTAAAATAGGGGAAAACACGTTACCGAATTTAATGGCAATTCTTTCTGGTCACAATATGGATCAGCTAAACAGTTTCTGCAATGACTCAGTGAAATTTAACAACTGCAAATTTATTTGGGACAAGTTTAAAGCATTAGGCTACGTTACTGCGTATCTGGAAGACGAAGTAGAAATTAGTACTTTTAATTACAATAGAGCCGGATTCTCAGAGGAACCAACGGATTTATATTACCGCGCTTATATGATCGCCTCGGAAAAACTGAAGCTGGTACTTCGGTACGGTTTGTATTATTGCACCGGTCCCGAAGTGGCCGGAGAAAGGGTATTAAACGCTGCTAAAGATTTCGCGATTACTTTCAAAGACTCGCCTAGTTTCGGTTTATTCTGGGCCAATAGTTTCAGTCACAATGACATAAATCTACCTAGTACCATGGACGAGTCGATGCTTAATATGTTAACTGATCCAGAACTCTTGCGAGCAATGGATAACACTATACTTATTTTGTTCAGCGATCACGGATTTAGATTCGGGGATATTCGATACACCCATTCCGGATGGTTGGAAGAAAGGCTCCCCTTCATCTACTTCCACTTGCCGGAAAAATTTAAGAGGATCCACCGTGATAAATTCGACAACTTCATGACCAACACCCGTAGACTGACCGTTCCTTACGACGTGTTTAACACTTTACAAGATATTTTAAGAATGGGAAATCCTTCTTACGTCGTTCAACCGAGCGAAGGTTGTATTAGTTGCCAATCTTTGTTCGCGGAAGTACCGGAAAACCGGACTTGCAACGACGCCCAACTCTCGAAACATTGGTGTACGTGCAAAGGGCACGTATACATCGATCCGAATTCCCCTCAAGTGCGTTCGTTAGGCGACAGAGTAGTGAACAAAATCAACGATCGAATCGCCAATTCTTCAGAGGGATACTTGTGCTCAACGTACAGCTTTCGTAGATTTATCGCCAGCGGAATTTCCAAACCGTACGTGAATTCGAAAAACCAGTCTGTAAATTATTATCTGCTAATGATCGAAACCAATCCTAGAGCTATGTTCGAAGCGACGATTGAGGTGTCTGTAGAATCCAACGATATCGTTGAGGTTTTTGGGCTCGGTAGAATAGATTGGTATAAACCGGTCACTTGGTGCATTAGAAAAAGTCATATTAAGGGGCTGTGCTATTGCCCGTGGTCGTCAGTGTTTGGATATGTAAAAAATGTGTTATTTAACATAACTTAACACTGCAATTGAATTTATTGAAATAAGAACAACACCTCAGTCTAAGTAAAAGAAAAGTTGAATTCAAGGAACGATTTCCAAGTGTTGACGACTGATTAAATTTTCTTTAGGTACATAAAGCTCTGATTGTTTGCAAATGAGTGTATTTTTAAATAAAAATATTTGTGTTTAAACTTATTTAATAGATTTTGTAGGTACTTACAAAATTTTGTGATTTGTTATTTAGTTATGTGATATTTGTAGTTTGATTTATTTTTACTATAAGTTTAACATTTTGTATTTGGTACCTAAATACATAGTATTTGTTACCACGAAAACTGCAGGGATGAGGTTTTTTTAACCAAAACGGCAGATATTTCATATTTTCTCATTTCGTATAGTGTAATAAATAAGGGTATAACTTAATTAATTTGTTTGCCATCCTCTTGCAGCTTCGTCTTACTACCGATATTCACCAACTTTAATTTATCCGCTTTCTCGAGGAAGTGAGAAATCGCTCTTGTACTTTCATAATATCGCTCGAGAAGGAAGGGCATAAATATTTCGCCCTATCGCTTATTTATCGCGGAGTCGAAAAACAAAGTGCTAAAATTCCACTTATTGTTCAGAAGTTACATAAATTCCTGGAATGACTTTTACGTGGAATTACTCCGGAATAGATTTAATGCTCCAAGGCATCGTTTAATGTACTTTCTAATGACTTCCATATTGTTGCAAATTGATAAACTTTTCTGCAAATTTAGGTAGTCTATTTGTAAAGTGGAATGCAAACTTATTGTTCAAATACGATTAAAAACTCCTTAATTCCGTTTCTGAACTCGCGAAAAGTGACCAAAGTATGTGACTATTTCACAAAAAAATATCTTCTCTCTTTTATTTACTCCAACAAAACGATAATGATGAATACTGGGTAACATCAAAAGAATCTCGTCAACAAAGCCGGGGCTCTGCTCATTTCGTTAACACTCATTTTATAAATTTAATGACTTTTCCTCGAAAAGTGTTCATTAAAAATAACATGAATAATACAATCGTAATTCGTCAGCGAGTGTTCAAATTTTATCGACGTTCGTGTCAGAACTGAGCAAAAATTAACTTTCCCTGGACAATTGTTCCACAAATAGGTAGCGTGCAAGCAATCTACATTAGTACAGACGGAAAATAAATGATATTTATTAAAATGTTTAACGTCACAATACTCCCTAAACTTCAATCGGAATACAGTTAAACATTTCACGCTAAAAGCGACTACAAAACATCCATAATCGTGTTTATTCTACATATTAGTTTTGTTGAAGGAGACACACAAAGGGAGAAAATTGTAGGTAAACACGCTGTTTTATTCATTCTTGCAATCCTTGAGGAATGTGCTAAGCAGGTGGAGGATGAGATTACGTTAGATGTCAATTAAAATAGTGAATCTAATATTAATAACGAAATGAAGGCTATTAAAGTATATTAGAAAAATTAAATTAAATTGGTCCTATGAGAGCTTTGGTCATGGTAATTAAAAATGCAATTAGTATAATTGACAGAAAAAGTGATAAATAAATTAATATAATCTGACAGAGTTTTAGGGTCAAATTAGATTTTTATAGAGATAATAAATTTTGACGAAAGCTTTTAGTAAAATAGCCCTCTAATATAAATTTGAATACGTTACCAGTACTGATCAAAATTCACTAATAAAAAACATGGTAGGTATATTTAAAAATAAAAAAACTAACACTGCTTGCAATATAATCACAATCAGAAAAGAGATTGATTAGAATTTGACTACAAAACGAATTTCTGTTTAATTAACATCTATTGCAAGATTTGTTTCGCCAACGCGTCACAATCTCCTCTAAACTGACCAGTGGAAGAGATTTCGTTTTTGATAGTTTTATCAGCACCGCATCGCTAGGAATTAATGTGGGAACATGGAAAAGCGTGACGTCGTTTCAAATGTTTTAGCGATAGAGAGATTCGATAAAGGCATTTAGCTGCTTAAATTTCGTTCCTAAACTAATTAGTATACCTACCGGCTTCTACATCATTATTTATGAGTATGACTCGTATGTTTGTGATATCTAAGTGTTATGAAGACGTTAAGCTCTAAGCTAGCGTTCCCGATACTAATTACCGGGAATAAATTAAGGTATGCAAATCGATGTTTTATGAGGATTCAACAATTATTACATTAACTATTAATTTACCACTAACGAAATTTATCAATCACAGTTTACCATCAACATCTGAAGGGTTGTAGCTATGTTTGCGAACGTTACGAACAATAGCGGATATTCGCTGATGATATGTGATTTCACCGTTCCCTCACTGCTAGCTAAGGATAACAATCCTCTTAAAGCTAATGAATCAGGCCCGGAGTTGCCGGCTGTTGAATAATTAATCGTTATTTGACTACCGGCTTACCTGGATGTCAGTACGCCGTAAAGTACGGCACGATTTGTGGGCGTACAAAAGGGCTATTAACGTTATGTCTATCTAACGTTTTTAACGAAGTTGTTTATGCTCGATTATAATCTCGTAATCTTTCCTAGCGGCTAATTACATCCTAGTTTTAAATGGTACATAGTTTTGTTTGAGTTATGGATTGATAATCAGAGGATCGATAAAGAATAATTCTTACATACCCCGCTATATTTCGCGCTTTTATTATTCCAAAACGTACATTTCCTTCATCAAAATCCGAACGGATCTTATTTACCCGCCTCCGTAATTACCCGTCTAATTCCGGTAATCCTTTTTAAACCGATCCGAAAGTCACGTGCCAGTAGGAACTTCATATTTACCCAGCTCGTCCTCTAATCCTGCATTAGATGCGAGCGGGCGCTCCGCTGCAAAGAATTGTATCAAAGCAGCCAGAGGTGGCACGAACAAATGTTTGTTAAACGCCGCCACCGGGAATGGAGTTGAGCTATAGGTATGCGCATAGCGTGCGAGGTCGCCGTAAAACCGCATTTCTTAGCTCTCACGTGAACTCCGACACGAAATGGGCCTTTGAAATATTCGGTTGCACCTCTGGGGCTGCATCTAAATTGCGGTGCAACCGAAATTCTATACCTATTACGCATCTATTATATTGGGTAGTCTTCTAAAAGTGTTGTACGAATTAAGCTCTTATATCATCACCATCATCATCATTATCATTAGCGTTTTCTTGCTGGATTCAGTAGGACTTCATTTAAGGAAATTTATTTGCGGCTAACATAGTGAATGAAAAACATCGTCAAACGACTAAAAGTGGAGGAAAAACCGTCCTGCGAAAAAAGAATTAAATCCCGAAGACTTACCTGAACGTCAGAATGGTGAATGGTCGATAAGATTTGTGGCTGTATAAATCGGCCATGGGCGTTCCCCAGAAATCGTTCTTGAAGACGTGGCCCAGCGGGTTAACGGCCAGAACGTCCTTATTAAGCGTCACAGCAGGAATGTCGTCGTGCACGAAATCGCCGTTCAGGCCGTTCAAGTAGCATGCGACGGCGACGGTGCTAACTAAGCTATAAAGCGGCCAGGAGCCCGGAGCCGTCTTGTCCTGCATCGACTCTTGGTTGATGGCGTGTTGGAGTTTTTTCTTCATTTTCGCACGCCGCGTTGTAAACTTCCAGCCAAACGAGAGTTTATACCGATGAGTTCGTTAGGGCTCCCGCGAGCGTCGCCATTTTTTTTAATAAACACCCGTCGGATTCTATTTCGCTACGAAGGGGTTTTATTGGATCGAAATAGAAAGGGAACCGCCGCAGGATTAGCTGCACAATGGACGCTTTGCGCTTCAATAGGACTCGACCTTCCGTGGTGAAATATTCGGATTTCAAGCGCGCCGCTCAAATGAAGATGTTTGTGTCAATCTGAAATCAAAATTTAATTCGATAAGATGTGCCAGCATACAATGTTGAGGTAAATTTATTGAGAATATCGTGAATGTTGCAAATAGTAAACACAAAGTGAATGTACTGGGAGTCTTATTTACTATAATATGGCACCTTCATTTCAAAAATTGTAATAATTATATCAATTATAGTTTTATTATCTAACTACAATCATCAAAACTTTTAAAATTAAAAACACCTAAATACTTGTGTTCTCTAAGTAAATATCGAGACTACTATTAAGAGTAATTTGGACAATACTACATAGATTGTCCTTTGAACTATTGAACGTACATCTAGACGGATACACCAAACACCAATTTACCAGATCTGTTTACGTTTAATTTCTAAACCGCGAACTGAAACCACAAGGCAAAACTCCCATTACATCGAACGTACGCTAAATATTATCATTCAGAGGTGTTAGCTAATGGTAACCCGAGGGCTTGCTTTCGGTATAATCGATGATTATAATATGCAGTAGATTGAATTCAACGTGCACTAGAAATCCATATTGATTAATATTTGAACTACTCAATTATTTGTATTCAGGTGGGTACACTGTAATAATGTTTTGAGAAAAAATGAGTTCAGTTTAATATGCTTATAATTACTTTTGTACACAAGCAACAGTTTGCGCCTGGTAACATAAATGGATCTTAACTAATATATGTAGCAACATCTGCTAATAAAAAAATCGTCTTAATTTTTCTCCATCCCGAGACACTACTTTCGTGAAATTGCCCCTGCGAATGCACTTAGTTACTGGCCTCGTACGCGCACGTATGCAGCCAGCGGACATCGCCGACCGGCGAACAGAAGAACATTCCCAACTTTGTTTCCATATAAAGGCGTGTGCTGGCAGTCCTGTAAGCGGATTGCACCGCTTCCTATCCCCTTGGTTCTGTTTAATAAAGTTCCGTTAGAGGCGAGTTGGAGATAAGGTCGGCTACTGCATTATGTAATTTCTTTTTACGATCCAAGTCTTTATAATAAAAGGGATATTCGCGTACGAGTCAAATAAACCGATCGCATGTAAAAAGTTTCCTCGGTAACTGAAGAATTTCTTTTGTATTTAAAACTAAAAAAATATTGGAAAATTTCCCAAACATTTAACATGTATCCAATAATCAAAGGCCTGGGGTTGTTTTGATTTATAGCATAGAATAAATTAAAAAGTCGTAACTTGAAGGAAAAAATGTATACATATTCAATGCCAATGCTGTGGAGTTTTATTCAGCGTGCGCCCCTAGGGATGTATCTTCATACGAAACGGAACTTTTTTCGGGCTGTGTATCCATACGTAGAAGCTCTACATGCAGATTAAGGTTGTGCTGAAAATCCTAGGCAGAACGGCTGACGGAATACTAATACCTCGCGTGGTAGATTTAAAGGTTTATGATCCGTAGAAAATTACGGGAGAAGAAAAATAGTAATATGTCATATAATGAACGCTTGTGGATATTTTATTCGTAAAACCTCCATGAAACGAAACATTCTATGTATAACTTACCAAGTTTCATGCATGCGAATAAATGTACCTCTTCGGTTTGAGTTTCTCTAAAATCTTTGACATGGAATAGGGAGTTAATTAAACCGCACATATTATCAACCACACACTTGTTCCTAAGTTGGACCGCAAGATTTCTAGTTCAGCGTTGCTATACTGTCGAATATTAATTTTATGTCAGATAATTCACATCAACAGAAGAATTCTCGAGCCGTAGAAAATTGGAAATGTGCGGTATACCACCGTTTTCCAAACATGTTCCTTCGCAAAGTTCACAACTACAATATATGTATACATCTTATACCTACTTCTGTGAATAGAAGATTTCCGTTGTCAGACTGAAGTAAAAAATTAATGTGCACAAATGGGTTCACATGCATGTAGATATCGCTGGAATAGGATAATGAAACATATTTATTTGATGCTATACCATTTCTTTCCTAAGCATTCGAATTCTTAAGTGTTTAACTGGCAAGATTCCAAATGGATTTAAGTTATTCCGCACTGTTTCATCGAGTCTTCGTTGCTCCTGATAGCTCTGCGCCGTTAAAGTCATTATGTTTGCATATGCTACAAACTAAATTTTGCCATATTTTCAGCAGCGATATTATGTAAAAACATAATTAACATCCAGTTAATTAAATTTATGAACGGATATAATTGGGTTACGTTTTCATTCGAATAAACAGATAAAATTTTGGAAGCATATCGAATATATCTGTATGGTGTATATAGGTAATGGCGAATGTAAATTTGTTTGGTTACACAAAAATTAATTAGTTAATTCAATCAATATTAACGAGTCCGGTGAATTATTAAAATATTTAAACCTATAGGCAAATGAAATATAAATTAAGTTATCAAATTTGTAATGGATATTACAAAATAAACAAATACTTAATAGAATAAAGGCATTGTTTTAGTATAATATAAATAAATTATCAATTTATCGTATTAATTAATACATAGGTAGTTTATAAATTAATTTAGTAGGAGACTCATTTTTTACAGAATTAAAAATTTTAATGCCTAGTCACTCTTCATATTTATGAACCTTTCAATTCTCTGATATTCCTAAATGTAAGTCTATACTATTTGTAAGGTAAGATTAATACGTTTTCCCTCATTACAATTTACATTAGACGCAGGCCTTTTCCCACTCTGTCGCTCTTCGAGAATCGAACAGCTGCGATAACACGGAAAAATTCCTGTCGATATCATCAATCACTGACGCGCCGAAAATGGTTATTTTTGAAGTTGTTTCGAACGCAGGAAATCCACAATCCCCTTTTTATGCATCTCTTTCGATGTTATCAACTCGAGAACGTTCCCTTTTTATCGGTCGGTAAATCAGCAGGCAGCACAACATCGAGTCCTGCGAGGAGACCTCCAGGAACCCTTGCACGGAACGACAAATGCGCCGGAATTTTGAGGTGGGTAAATGGAAATTCCGAGTTAGTTTGGCGTGGTGTTAGGTAGTTTCAAGCTCGATTGCTCGAATCTCAAGAAACATTGAGCTACTTTTTTGGTGATTGAATTGGTCCGTGAATATACATAATTTAAAAAAAATATTTTTATAAATGATTGGTTAATTGTGCTGTTTTTATTACATTAGCGAAATATAAGAAGGAAAACATCACCATTTTAAAATTATACAAACATTTATGATGCAAAAAAAACAGCAAAAGTCCGAAGTCGATTGAAGATACTTTCAGGATTCTTTTTTATTAAAATAATAACTCTCCCCTTACAAACCGCAAAAAAGTCTCGCCTAAAAAACCGGCTTCTTTATTCCCCGAAAAAAGATCGATCAACCTCCTGCCATTTTGCGAGAAAGATTCCGGAGGGTCTGAATCACCTATTACTTATATCCTTATTATATCCTTAAATCCTACTTTCGCAAATTCCATTATCTGATCCATAATGTATTTTGTTACCCACTTCTCTTTTATGTTCTAGCCCACCTTCGGTTAACTCATTATTCAAATTTTCTCCCAACAATAACTTATACATTATTCCCCGCGCCTGACGCGACAGCGAATTATTCGGAGTCGCATTGTTTGATGCATTTAGATTTATGATTAATGTTTTATATTTTCTCCCGAATCATAATTTATTTTCATTTCAATATGGAATAACATCGCCCGTCATCGGGACATCGTTTACCAAACTTACCAACACAATACCTATCTGCACAGATTTCGTGCACTGTGTAATTAATCTCTTAGACAAATTGTTATCTTCCTCATCATTTTCTTTGAAAACGCCGAAAACATGCTTTAACTAAATAGGTAGGTAAGATTTTTTGTAATGAAGTAGGGGAAAATAGCTTAAACCGGCAACGCCGCAGTAATTTTACGCAGTAAATATACGATAAAAAAGTTTCTAAGTCGATGTATCCATAATGCTGGAACTACAGGATAAAATTTTGATGCAAAATTTGCATCCCACTTAAATTCTTATCGACAGGTTTTGATGGCAGCACACAAAATAGGTGCTTATTGAATACACTTCGCTCTTTCAAACTGATACAGGAGAACACTTTTCCATCAAAACGTATGGTAAAGTTTGACTTGTACGTTGGAAAATGGGAAATTGTAACTAGCTGGAAAATAATAATACTTTCAAACAGTACAAAACAGTTCGAAATTCGAATTTATCATGCGGCGTTTACGAAACTTTTGAAACTATAAATTATCATAAACGTTGGCAAGTGAACGTACATTCATGTCGAACAAAAACGCTACATCCTGAAGAAATTATACGTGTTATATCTCCATTATTAAAAAAAAGTAACGGTGTAATCATAGCAAACGTGGAAGTTTCGGGAAACAACTCACGTTATTTATCTAGCTGGAAAATTGTAAGTCATTAGCAGTAAATTGTAGAGAGAAAATGAAAAAAAGCTCGGTATTACGTATGTAGGTATAGTATAATGTAGGTAAAAAATACACAAAAAGCGATAAAAGCGAAATGGACAAATAAATTGGTACAATGTACAAATGAGATGTACGTATTAGTAGACATGCTTATGATTATAATGACGTTTCTAATCAATTTACATTTAATATATGCTCGCACAACACGAATGCAAATTTTAAATAAACCTCTCCTGAAGGACAGATAAACGTCCAAATTACTAATAATAATTTCACTAAATAATAGTGAGCCACAAATTTGAGCACGTAACGTAATATTATCCTTCAGACATGCAAAGGAGCGCAAAGTCGAGCTCGTTGCGCGTAAAAACGTTCAAAATACGACTTAATTGAGCTCCAGCATGCAGTTTTTTTTAGAGAATTTTAGCCGTATCTAGCAAAAACTTTCAAAATTCCTTTATTTTCAAGATTTTAATTTTTTATATTTATTATCTGACTTGCATTACAGTTAATGTAAGTAATGAAAATGTAGAAACAATGTTAAAGAAAAAGGCGAAGAAAACTCCACTTACTCCGTTTACTATGAATAG